ATAAAAATAATTAAAAAATATATTTTCCATAATTAATAAATAAAAAATACAAAAAAAGTTAAAAAATAAAAATTATGCAAAATCCGAACCAAAATTGACATTTAAGTAAGAAGAAAAATGAAAGCTTTCTAATCTTACCCCACACACGCGCCGCGGAAAATAGTGCTCGTCTCAGGTTCCCTCCCTATATAGATGGACGAGGTTCGCTCCGCACCGTAAGCGTCTTCAAAACCCGAAGCCTAAAGCCCTATTATTATGACCATTATTATATATCATCATCCTGTTGAAGTTTGAAACTCAGTGGCTGCTATTTCCACTGCAACCAACTTGCTCCTCCGACCGACCTCAAGATGGAGGAAATGGATCGTACTCGCGCTTTTGTTAAGGATGTCAAGCGTCTGGTTATCAAGGTTAGCTGCATTAATCCATTCTGTTTCTTTTGTTTATTTTTCCTGGATGATTTCGATTCATTTTGAAGTGATTTTCATCTCTTTAAGTTGAATTTAGTGATTGGGGCTCCTTTTCATTTCGTAATGTTATGAAACTGGATTGTAAAGTTGGATCTTTGAGGGATTAATGTTTTGAAGGGGTGATTGTTTTAGGTTGGGACTGCTGTTGTAACTGGAAATGATGGAAGATTAGCTCTTGGAAGACTGGGTTCACTGTGTGAGCAGGTGTGCCATTTCTTTATGTTGTTGCAGAACTGGGTTGAATGGTTTTCTTTGTTTCATGTAGTGAAAGGGTTGAACTTGTTGAATGAAATGCAGGTTAAAGATTTGAACACTCAAGGATATGAGGTTGTTTTGGTGACTTCAGGTGCTGTTGGGCTTGGTCGCCAAAGGCTTAGATACAGGAAATTAGTGAACAGCAGGTATTTGTTTTATTCTCGTTCTTCTTCTTTTTCTTTTTCTTTTTCCCCCTTCCCGTTTGATTTAATTTGATTAGGTTGGTCAAGTATGAATTTGGGACTAGCCCACTAAAAATGGAGAGGAAGAAAAAAATGAAGAAGAATAAGAAGAAGAAGAAAGGAGCTAGATTGATTTCTTTCCCATTGGAATATGTCTACCCACAAATCTCATGATTGGGATAACTTTGATTCATGCTCATCCTTGTCTTTCAGCTTTGCAGATCTTCAAAAACCACAAGTACAACTTGATGGGAAGGCATGTGCAGCTGTTGGGCAAAATAGTCTCATGGCTTTGTATGATTCATTGTTTAGTCAGGTAGCTATTATATATTCTCTATTTCACTGCGGCATCAGAGTCCATTTCGTTTCTATAGTTGTTACCTTGAAATTTTCATTCTGTTTTATATTTGTGACACATGTATATTTCCATATGAGAGCTTATCTGTAGTAATTTTTGCTTATTTTCTTCTTTGCTGCAGCTGGACATGTCATCAGCTCAACTACTAGTGACAGATAGTGATTTCAGGGATAAAGGTTTCAGGAGACAACTGAGTGAAACGGTCATGTCATTGTTATCATTGAGGGTCATTCCAATATTTAATGAAAATGATGCAATCAGCACAAGGAAAGCTCCGTATGAGGTTTGGTGTTTTATTTGTTCCCTGCAGGATTTTATTCCATTAATATCTGCTGTTGTAAGTTTTTAACTTTTTTTAGCCTCATAATTCATAAATATGCTATAAGTTGATAGATGATAATTGCAAACTGTTTTGTTCATATTTTTGTATAATCTAACTTAGCAGATGTTTTGATTAATCATGTTCAATCCAATTTTTGTTTCTTTTTTCCCTTTTCTGTTTCTTGTGTGTTGGGAATGACAGTTGTTATTGAAAGGAGTGAGCTTGTATCTTCCATGTAACTTCATAGGTGGTGGGTGTGCATGGGTCACTTTTATGAGCTCTAGAGAGATGAAATAAACTGATAGTGAAAGATGGATTTGCTGAATGAGCAGGATAATGCAGAATTAACAAGGACAATCCCCCTCCTAATACAAGCACAACAAAAGAAAAGGGTTTAGTTAGGTTAATTGTTAATGGATGGGATTTCTTTGGCCTGCACATTTGAAGTGAACAGGCTAGTTTATGTGAGGATATAGACGATACAGAAGAAGCCACTGATATTTACTTTGTGATGAACTTTGAATTGGTGATTTGAACACTTTTGCAGGATTCATCTGGTATATTTTGGGACAATGACAGTTTAGCAGCGCTGCTAGCATTAGAGTTACAAGCCGATCTTCTTGTTTTATTAAGTGATGTAGAAGGTCTATATAGTGGTCCTCCGAGTGACCCACAATCGAAGCTAATCCATACATATGTTAAAGAAAAGCATCTGGGTGAAATCACTTTTGGAGACAAGTCAAGGGTGGGAAGAGGGGGTATGACTGCAAAAGTAAAAGCTGCTGTCAATGCTGCTTATG